CAAACAATGACAATTACAACCAAAAAAGAGCCAGGCTTTGCTGGGTGCCTGTAGTTTCAGCTACTTGCGAGGCTGAGGCAAGAGAATTGCTTAAGCCCAAGAATTTGAGGTTGCTGTGAGCTGTGATGCTATGGCACTCTATCCAGAGCAACAGCTTGAGACTCTTTGTCTCAAGAAAAAAAAAAAGTGTTAGAGACATCAGGTATTTCATTTTATTTTATAAAAATGGAATTTACCACACTTAACATTTTAGAACTTGCTTTTTCCCCCTATCTATTTATTGAAGAAAATTGTCCATGTACGGCAATGCCTGTGGCTCAGAGAAGTAGGGCGCCAGCCCCATATGCCAGAGGTGGTGGGTTCAAACCCAGCTCCGGCTAAAAACTGCAAAAAAAAAAAAGAAAAGAAAACTGTCCATGTAAAATACAGAGATTACTTGTTCATTTTAACAGCCACGTGAAATTTTCTGTCATTTCCTTTCTTGGTTGTTTCGCAAGGGCCCTCTTTGTCCCTGCAGTTATAATTTCTGTTGCTTTACACGTGTTTTGTTCACTGGTGGGGAAGCTCTAGGTACCTGGCAATTGAGTCTCCTCCTCCCTGCCCTATAGGTCGCCCTCAGAGTCCAGTTCTGAGTCCCGCTCTCGTTCCCGCTCCCCGACCCCAGGCCGTGAAGAGAAGATCACATTCATCACCAGTTTTGGGGGCAGCGATGAGGAGGCAGCTGCAGCTGCAGCTGCCGCAGCCGCATCAGGGGCCACCACAGGGAAGCCCCCCGCACCCTCCCAGCCTGGCGGCCCTGCCCCGGGACGTAATGCCAGTGCCCGGTCGGTAACGCTCACGCTGCCCGCCCTACACCCCGGCCACCATGGGGGGAACCTGGGGCAGTGGGGGGCCATGGCCCAGGCCTGTGCTGACTGGTCCTCCGTGCCCCACCTGCAGCCGCCGCTCCTCCTCTTCCTCCTCCTCTTCTGCCTCGAGGACCTCCAGCTCCCGCTCCAGTTCCCGATCCAGCTCCCGCTCCCACCGAGGTGGGGGCTACTACCGCTCCAGTCGCCATGCCCGCTCCCGGTCCCGCTCCTGGTCCCGCTCCCGGTCCCGCTCCAGGCGTTATTCCCGGTCCCGCAGCCGTGGCCGGCGACACTCAGGTGGAGGGTCCCGAGATGGACACCGCTACTCCCGTTCACCTGCCAGGCGCGGTGGTTATGGGCCTCGGCGCAGAAGCAGGTGTGTGCAAGTGGGGATGCATGAGGGTTGGGGTCTGGAGGTCCATAGGCTTCCCTCTAGAGCATTCTCTGAAGGTGAAGACCTGGCCACCGCGCTCCGAGAGTGCCAGTCTAAGAGGAGAGACACTGCCATTGCTCTTTCCTCAGGAAGTTCTTATTTTGATGGGGAAGGCATAGGTGTGCACACTTTGTTCAGGGAGTACCAAGCATGGTGACAGCAGGTGTGGAGGCCAGCCACTATTCTCAGGGACATGGTCAGGAGAGGAGACTGAGCATCACTTTTTCTTTTCTTTTATTTATTTTATTTATTATTTTTTTATTGAATGGTAACTATGTACATTAATGCATTTCTGGTGTACAGTGTGGGGTTTTCACATGCAATCTGAAATACTTCCATCAAACTGGTCAACACAGCCTTCAGCATCACTTTTTCTTAAGACAGACAGACATCTCACTATGCCGCCCTCAGTAGAGTAGTGTGGCGTCACAGCTCACAGCAACCTCAAACTCTTGGGCTTAAGCAATTCTCTTGTCTCAGCCCCCCAAGTAGCTGGGACCACAGGCCACAATGACTGGCTATTTTTGTTGTTGTTGCAGTTGCTTTTGTTGTTTAGCAGGCCTGGTTTAGCTGGGCTGGGTTTGAACCTGCCAACCTCGGTGTATGTGGCCAACACCATAACCACTGTGCTACAGACGCCAAGGGACTGAGCATCTCTTGTCACGGGCCAGCCCAGGCAGAGGGGAGGACACAGATGCCCCAGGGTGTTCTGTAGCTGGGAGTAAAGGACTTGGGCCCTGAGGGCTAGGAAAATCACGTGGGGAGCAGTGGAGAGGGTTGGAAAAGTCAAGATAGCACTTTTCAGGAGGGCAGGGTTAGAGGTGAGCACTCTGGGGCCATGTCATCCTTCCCTGTCTACTGGCATCAGGGGGTAGGAACACAGGACTGCAGACCACCTGCCAGGGTGTGGACCCTGCCTTTGAATGAACTCCCTGGGCCTTGTCACTCTATCTGTATGTAAAATGGAGGTGATAATGGCACCTACTTCTCTGGGTTGTTGCAGAGGTGTGACAAGTAAATAAACCCATGTAAAGTGCTTAGGGCAGGGCCTTGCCCAGGCCAGGTGCTATTACTGCCATCAGAAATATTACCTGTGTGATTTCTGCATGGGTCACAATGTCAGCTGCTTATAGGTCTGGCAGGTAGAGGGGCCAGGTGGATCCTATTGAACTGGCACGTACTTGACCCCTCCTGTGGGGGCCCACCTTGGAGCGGCAGTTTCTCAAGAGAAGTTATGGGTGTGGATTTTCAAAGAACAGCTCTGGTTTTCTCAGTATTGACAAGAAATTTTAAATTTTATCAAAACCAAAGAGAGTCCAAGCCAGAGGCCTTATCGGTCTAGAATTGGCTCCTAGGTCATTCCTTTGCAGCCTTACCCAGGGCAATGATAGAAAGACTAGAGGTGGGAGGTTGGGCCTGGTCACATCTCCAGTACCAGCCTGAGGAGGAGCCCTTCTTGGAGTGTCTCATCAATGTCCTGAGTAGGTCACATGTCCCCAAACTGGAACTTTAGGGTCTGTACCAGGACGGGTGCGGGCAAAGGAGTGGTCTCCATGGGTGTCAGGACCCTAGACCCCAGCAGGATGGAGTCACCCTGGAAATGCTTTGTGCCCTAAGCTAAGCATAGCACATAAAGGGGGAGCCAGCCAACTAAGTCCTGCCCTCCCGGAGGTCACCACCCAGAAGTGAGCAAGTAGGTATCTAGTAAGGTGCATGAGGTGCAGCTGCTAAGGGTCTGGCTTCTCTATGTCTGTAGACTGAGGGGCTCCGGAGAGCAGCTCTGGGGCTCCTAACGGAAAGTAATGGAAGTCTAGCGAGTCCTGCCAGATGCATGGGACTTCACAGAGGACTATAGATTTGGAGCCAGGGGAAGGGTGTGGTTGTGGTACCTGGAGTTTCACAGGCCTCCTCCGGCCCACTGTACCCTCAGGAGCCGCTCTCGCTCAGGGGACCGCTACAGGCGGGGCGGCCGGGGCCCCAGGCACCATAGCAGTAGCCGCAGCCGCAGCAGCTGGTCTCTCAGCCCATCCCGCAGTCGCAGTCTGACTCGCAGCCGGAGCCACAGTCCCAGCCGGAGCCACAGCCCTAGCCACAGCCATAGCCACAGCCGCAGCCGGAGCCGCAGCCAGAGTCACTCACCATCACCCCCAAGAGAGAAGCTGACCAGGCCAGCGGCGTCCCCTGCTGTGGGCGAGAAGCTGAAAAAGTGAGTGGGGCAGGTCTAGGGGCAGAGGATTGTCCCCTCAGGTGGGGAGAGGGAACGCTACTGTTAACCTTTTGAAGGGAACTTGGTCCTATCCCAGGAGGTCTAAGGGGGATATGGTCCTGTCTTGGAGGTTCTGGGGAGTTGTGAACCTGTCCTGAGGATTCTGACAGGGGACACAGTTGCTCCCCAGGGCATCTGGTTGTTGGTCTGAGGGCAGTGCTGTGGCTGTGGGGTGAGGGTGGCAGCTACCCTTTCTTCCTCTCCCTAGGACCGAACCTGCCGCTGGTAAAGAGACAGGAGCTGCCAAAGTCAGTAAGAATTTGGAACTCACCCGTCTAATTCCCGCCAGCAGCAGTGCCCAAGAACAGGGCCCGGTGGGCCTGCAGGGGGGCCTGGGTGGGCCGGGTTATCCAGCCCCAGGGATTGAGGGGGCAGTGGAGGGGTCTGCCCCATGTGAAATCATGTCCCTCTTCCCTCTTTGTGCATCAGGGCTCCAGAACCTCAATGGCAGGTGTCCACAGCCTGCCCCTACTCCCCACATTTATGCCCGCAAGTCCCAGGCTCTTGGCTGAGGTGGGTTGTGGGAGCTCCAGGACACCCACCCCCTCTCCTACCTCTTCTCCCCCTTCCCTAGCCCAAGCTCACACCACAGGAGAAGCTGAAGCTGAGGATGCAGAAGGCACTGAACAGGCAGTGTATGTCCCACCATCTGTCCCTTTAGGTCTTCCCAGCTCTTGTCTGTGGAAACAAGTAGAAGCCCTCGCCTCGGGGAATCCCTTTCTTAGCCAAGGAGGCACTTTGGGGAGAGTGGGTTTGTATCCTGCTCTGCTGCTGCCATGCTAAGGGTCTCACCAGTCTGGTTGAGCTTAGCTTCCTCATTTTAGGAAGTGGGGCTCTTAAGGGCACACTTCAGCTACTTTGTTCCTTCTTACAGTCAAGGCGGATAAAAAGGCAGCTCAGGAGAAGATGATACAGCAGGAACATGAGCGGCAGGTAATGATGGGAAGTGAGGGGGTGGGTACCGGTGGGGTGCTGGGCCAGCCACACCCTCATGACCGTCTCTGCTACAGGAGCGAGAAGATGAGCTTCGAGCCATGGCCCGCAAGATCCGGATGAAGTAAGACTGCCCCCGCCCCCCCCCTTCCCATACGGTGGCCACACCTCCTGCTGCATCTGTGCTGCCTGGACTTCCTATCACCTGGCTGCCAGCTACAACCCTGCCCAGGCCCTTTGTGGGTGGATGAAAGTTAGAACCCTGCCTGGCCCTGAGGGCCATGCCCAGCCACCACCCTGGCTTCTCTCCCTCAATTTCCATTCTTCATCCCAGTTTAGCTCCTGCCTCTAAGACCTCCCAGCTCCTCCAGCCTCCAAGCTCTTGCTGCCTTTGTTGTTTGTTCATTATCCCACCTCCCAGGATTATTGGGAGGGTTCAGCAAGATCAAGGCCAGGTGTAGAAAAGGCACCCAGTAAATGCAGGTGTCAGGTTGCTAATCCTGGTCATTCTGATAGAGGTCAAACACTCAGCCTATGAGTTTGATGTAGTAGACTGTGATTTAATTCTTGACTGCCAACCTGTGTGTGTGTGAATATTGGTGTCTCCATTTCCAAATGTGGACAATAGCAGTACCTGCCTCTTTGGTTTACTGTTTTACTTGGATTACCCTGAATTCAGTGTTCCCAGCTAGATGCTCACCCCATCCCCTTGCAGGGAGCGGGAGCGCCGAGAAAAGGAGAGAGAAGAATGGGAGCGCCAGTACAGCCGGCAAAGCCGCTCACCCTCGCCTCGCTACAGTAAGTGTCTCCCTAGGCTGGAGGCTCTGGGGCATTAAAAAGTGGCATACAACCATGGTACATTTTCCACATTAGCTTTCCATAAATTAAAGCTCTTAAGACACACAATAAGATTACGTTAGTCACAAGGTAATTGCAGGGATTAGAAGAAATGCTCATTCCTAGCACATTGATGTGGGCTAGTGAGGGGGCACAGGTTGAAACCAGTGGACATGGTGTAAGTGCCAGTGTTGCCTCAGTGGGGACCACACCTACAATCTAACTTCAAGGACCAACTCCAGGTCAGGGAAGAGTCCCTGGCCCCTGGACACTGGCTTTGTCTCCATCTGGTTCTTTTCTTTCCAGGTCGAGAATACAGCTCTTCTCGAAGGTAAGGAAGCCAGCCCCATTCTAGGGTGACCCTCTACTTCTCTGAGAAATTATACTTGTCCTTTGGTGGGAGATCCTGGTGCTAATGTTTCCCTCCCCACCCCTGCACTCCTGCAGTTGGAGGGGCAGTTATCCTATCTGGGAACGTATCCATCCTTCCTTCCCTCCACAGCAGAGTCCCCTGATCACTGAGGCCTCGCTACCCCCAGCATGCTGGTTCATGTGTACTCAGCAAGGCACCCTCTCTCCTTTTCTCTCTTTCCAGGCGCTCAAGGTCCCGATCCAGAAGCCCCCATTACCGACATTAAGCAGAAGAGAAGGGGACAATGGGGTGAGGAGTGGGGGCTGAAGCTGTGATGCTGCTGGTTTTATCTTTAGTGAAATAAAATCAAATATTATTTAATTCCCTTCACCTGGCCTCAGTATCTTCTGTATAGTTAGAGCAAGGCTGTCTAGACCCAGCGCCACCAGCCAGCAAGGCCAGCTGGGGGGGGGGGCACTTGGTGGGTTGACAAGCTAGGTGCCAGTGTTGCCTGTGTGGGAAGTCCTGCCCACATCTGGATGTCCAGATGGCAGCTTGTGGTTAATCAGAACTGTGGCTCAGTGAGACATACTTAGGAGGCAGGGGGCACAATTCAGTGGAAAAGGGCCCAGATCTGCCCACAGGTGTGGACATGGGGTGTGGGCTCAGCAAGTCCCACATGGGCTCTTTTGCCCAGGGGCCTCTGGTGACAGGTCCAGGCCTCTCCCCGCCCTCGCCTCAGCCCCTGCCCTGGCCTCACCCACACCAGGAACCGGGAGCACGGCTTTCTGTGCCAGTCCTGCTGTGCCCCAGGCACTGGGGGCTAGCCTTTCCCCTCACCCTAAACCGGTCTGTCCAGCTGTCCACCCCAAGGAGGGTAAGCCTCCTACCCCACCTCAGACACCCCAAGAAAACCAGAGCCCAAACATGTAAATAAGGACAATTTACTTGCAGAAGGGTGGTCAAAATAGTCATGTACCAGGGACTACAAGAGAGGGCATGCCCATGCTCAGGCCTCCTCCACAGCCTCAGGGTGCTTCTGCCGAAGGTGTTTGTCCAAGGTGGCACGAAGGCCAAAGGGCACACAACAGTGGGGGCACTCAAAGCGGGTGCTGCCTGGCCCTAGGCCATGCATGCGGCGATGGCGGTTGAGCTTGCTGCTCTGGGCGCAGGCATAGGGGCAGAGCTCGCAGGTGTAGGGCCGCTCACCGGTGTGTGAGCGCCGGTGCACTGTCAGGTTGCTACTGTTGGTGAAACGCTTCCCACAGAACTCGCAGCTGCCCCCAGGCCCACGGCTCTTGCCCACTGACTTAGTTGTCTTCTTGGGTGACATCTTCTGACTGTTTGCAGGGTCAATTCTCTCTTCCTTGGTGATGGCTCCCCAGCTGTCCCCATCAGGGCCTGCTTGAGCCCCACTGCCAGGAGCCCCAGGTTCCTGGATGCCCGCAGTAGCAGCAGCTCCTGCCCCCTCTCCACCGCTGCAGGGGAGGGTGCTGGCTGGGGCAGCGGCATGGGCAGCTGGCTCTGGAGGGGCTGCAGAGGCCAGTTCCTGGGTGGTGTCAGCAATTAAGGGGCTCTGAGGCAGTAGCTGCCTGTGGGTCTTCTTATGGCGGTTGAGTTTGCTGCTTTGGGCACAGGCATAGGGGCACTGGTCACAGGCATAGGGCCGCTCACCTGTGTGTGAGCGCATGTGCACCTTGAGGTTGCTGAAGGAGCTGAGGGTCTTCTTGCACACAAGGCAGGTGGGGCTCCGCCGGATGAGGCTGTTCACCTGGGGGCTCTTGGCCTCAGCTGCTGGCCCCACCACCGCTGACACAGCTGCAGCCACTTCAGCCAGGCCCAGCAGTGGGGCCTCTGGGGCCTCTGATTCTGTCTGATAGATGGAGAGTCCGTGGTCCCATTGGGCATGGCACAGCAGTTTCCAGGCTCTTGTGAACTGTCTGCCACAGCGGAGACAGCTCAATGCCTTTAGGTCCTCGCGTTCTAGAGAGAAAAGAAAAGGGGGCAGGGTAGTTCACAGTAGCCAGGTGGACGCTTTCTGTGGGACACAAGGACTCAGCAGTAACTATAGACAAAAGATTGTCCTGGAAGGACCAGGAAGCTAATGCTGGATGGAAGGCTGAGGAAAGAAAATGTGTGTAGTTGTGTTTGAAAATCTTTTTTTTTTTTTGAGACAGAGTCTTTACTATGTCACCCTTGGTAGAGTGCCATGCCACCACAGTTCACAGCAACCTCAAACTCTTGGGTTTAAGTGATTCTCTTGTCTCAGCCTCCCAAGTAGCTGGCACTACAGGCACCTGCCACAACATCCAGCTATTTTTGTTGTTGTTGCAGTTGTCGTTGTTTAGCAGGCCCAGGCTGGGCTTGAACCTGCCAGCCTTAGTGTTTGTGGCCGGCACCCTACCCACTGAGCTACAGTCGCCAAGCCCTGTTTAAAAATCTTAAAAAAAACCAGTTCCGTTAAATCAGAGTGAGGGACAGAGAAGAATGCTATTCATAGTGGAGGTGTCAGGAAAGGCCTTGCTGATGAAGTAACCAAATTCAATGAGTACTTCCTATGTGTTAGGGCCTGTGCCATGCCTCAGCTCACTCTACTTTTCCTTCAGCACAAGAAATGAGACCTCCAGATGGGCAAACTGAGGCACAGGAAGGTACTTCCCCAAGATCACACCACTTGAATGGGGCAGAGTTGGGATTTAAAACCAGACACCTGGCTCAGCGCCTATGGCTCAAGTGGCTAAGGCTCCAGCCACGTACACCCAAGGTGGCGGGTTCGAATCCAGCCCGGGCCCAACAAACAACAGTGACAGCAGCAAACAAACAAAAAAAAATAGCCGGGCGTTGTGGCGGGCGCCTGTGGTCCTAGCTACTTGGGAGGTGGAGGCAGGAGACTTGCTTGAGCCCAGGAGTGGGAGGTTGCTGTGAGCTGAGGTGCCACAGCACTCTACCCAGGGGGACAGCTTGAGGCTCCTGTCCCCCAAAAAAAAAAAAAAAAAAAAACCAGACACCTTGGAGACCAAGTTTTCAAAAGAGATTGTTGGTTTAAATAAAAATAGCTTCCAAGAAGACTTAGCAGCCACCCAATAAGGTGGTGGGGTAGTGACCTCTGCATGGATCTCAAATTGAGAGCTCCCAGGCTTATCCTCCTTGGGGTGGATAATTTGATATAGACCCTTGACCTCTAGTGGATATTTCCCAGATCCACCTGCCTTTAGGTTATTCAAATTCCATAAAGTTTTGTGACCTTGGGCAAGAAATGTCTTGCACTGATCCTCAGTTTCCTCAGCTGTTAGAATATGGGGATCTTAGGGTCCTCTCCCTTCAGGATTGTTGTGACCTCAAATAAGGATAGCTGAGAGCTTTGGTCCCTATTAGCTCTGAATAAACATTACTGAGCCTGTGATGCCAAGGTATCCACACTTCCACAAGTCCCAAGTCTTGAAGTGTCTTGTTCCAGTGATCCCATTGCAAGACACTATCCCTGCTCCAGCTTTAAAGCTGATTCAATCACAGCCCCTCCTTTCTCTCATAGCTGGATGGACCCTCCCTGGCCCAGCCCTGAATAATTCCATTTCTCAAAAATCCCAGGAGGCCATGGGCCACAGGCTGAAAATACATAGAAGTAGATAAGCCCCAGGGCCAATGCCGACCAAAAGCTCAGTGTGGGTCAAACAACATGTGAAGGGTTTTTATTCCCTCCCAAGAAAAGGAACCCAGATGTCCAGCATCTGGGACCTGACTCCAACAAGGGGCTTCCCAGCACCTAGGACTGGGAGATTCCATCAAGGAGGGAAGCCATCAGCCCCTTGCCTGCTCTAAACCACAGTACCAGTACCTCAATCAGAAGTGATAATAAGGCAAGTAGATGGCTGGGGTGGTTACCCTCCCTTCCAACCGGCCTCCACTCCCCCTCCCCCAAGGCCGCTGCCCTCCCCAGAGGTCCCCATACTGCCACCCTGGTCCAGCCACCTGGCCAGTTATTTCTGGCCAAGGGGAAGGAGAAGTGAAACCAGATTGGGGGTGTCGTGTGTGGCAAATCCCCAGGCCAGTCTTCTGGGGCTGGCCACACCCTGTGGGCGGCCTCCTTCCCTGCCCAGCCTCACCCCCCCCCCTTTCTCACCACTAGTCCCAGTCCTAGGTTAGGCAGGCCCTGGCCACGCCTAGGCTGCACCCGGTGAGGAGGAGAAAGGGGAAGTAATGCTCAGTGCCCTGCCGTCCAGCTCAGCCCCCTCTCCTGCAGGAAGTCCAGCTCTTGAACTTGGGGGGGGGGCTGCGCCCCGCTTCACTTACCTGAGCCCTGGCAAGGGCTGGGGCCTCTGAAGAGCTGACAGCCCAGCTTCTTGTGGTCCATGAAGGCAACGATGGCCTCCAACGGGAAAGTCTGCAGGCAGCGGCCGCAGGTCAACAGATCTGGGTGTTTGTCGGTCCAAGGCTGGCGGTCTGCAGGGAGGAAGCGGGTGGTGAGCGTGGGGTGGGGCCAGGATGGGGGCTGAGGGTTCCGAGGGACAGGGGAAACCCGAAGGTCAGAAGGGGGACTGGGGGGGGAAGGGCCAGGCAAAGCAGATAAGGAAGGACCAGGGGCCCGTGCCTAGAAAGGGGGTCCCACCCGAGGGTCTAAGGGAAGCAAGGCTGGGCCTAGGGCCCTGATTAGGGACGCTGAACGCTCACCGGGAGGGTTAGGAGACAGCGGCGTCCACAAGGTCCATGGGTTCCGCGCGCCGAGAGCGAGGAGGGCGGCCCCAGTGGGCATGGGTCCAGGGGACCTGCGGGGTTCGCCCCAGAACAGCCCAGGCGCGGACATCCCCTTAGGGGAAAAGGGCCCCGGCCATGGGGCCTGCAGGGGCCGCGCGTCTGGCTCCGGCTTCACTTCGATGACTAGGTCTGGCATCTCCATCTCGTCGTCTGGGTTGGCGGCGGGCTCTGGGTCTACTCGGCGGGGCGTGCTGCCGACCTTGCGCCGGGACATTAGTTGCGGGCCGGGCGAGCGGGCAGGCTGGTGGGTGTGCGGAGGACGCGCGAGCGGAGGACGCGCGTACAGTGCACACTCAGTCTGAGGCGCTCAGGTGAGTGACTGCGGCGACCCGCCGCGAACTCTTACACGTGCTGGCCGGGCCCGTAGCTCCGCCCTCCGGGGGCGGAGCCTGCAGGGAGGGGACGGGGCGGCCCTGCAGGGGCTCCGCTGGCAGCCGAACACAATCAAGGCGGTGCCCTCTGCGTTTGGTCCTAATGACCAAACTTAATGACACCAAGTTCCCACAAGGCATAGGAATTTAGCTATTCTTGACCCTATTTTAGGGCTGGTGAAACCGAGGCACAGGATGACCACACACACACACAAGCAGAAAAACAGTAGGCCACGTTTCTTAATAGGTGTTTAAGAGTTACCTGGACTATTCCATGAAATACATTGCAGTAAGAATTCATTTAGCAAACATTTATTAAGCGCCTCCTGTGCAATAGGCTCTGGTCTAAGCTCTGCGAATACAGCAAACTCCTACCTACCTTCCCGGACTTTATACTGTGGGGGAGACACTATGAACAGGTAAATATGTAAAACCTTTGAGGCTAAGTGTCATGGAGCAAAATAAAGCTAGGGGAGGG